CCCAGATGCTTCAGCCCTCTTGACTCAGAGCCATTGGAAAAATTTCCAACCAGAAAACAAACAGAGCCTACTTAATGTTGATGAGCCAGGTATGTTGGACTCCGCCCTGGGCCCCTGCCCCTTTGCATTTGCACTGATCCCCGTGTGGTCGGGCCAAGGTCTGGGTGCTGCGGGGGGCCTGACCAGCGCAGGCGGAACTCAGCTACGGTGCTTCTTGCTGGGCCCTTGGGAAACCGTGTACTTGCTCTGAGCCCAGCTTCCCCTCTGGCAAGCGGGACAAGCGCTGCCGCGAGGGCCAATGAAAGAAGGCGGCCAGACGTCCAAGAGCGTTGGGCGCGCAGGGAGCACGTGTCCCTCTGGCCCGCGCCTGCCCACTCAGCACCGGCTGGCTTCTCGCCACCGACTGGGGAAGCGAAAGCTGGCCCTGCAGACCCGTGGAAGGAGGGCACGGCCTCTCCGTACCTGCAGGTCTGGGGCTGGGAGGACAGCGGTGGGAGAAGGCAGGTCGCCCAGGGCCAGGCTCGGGAGGAGCGGAGGAGACACACGCGAGGGGAGTCTGCATTCGCGGGAGCGCATAAACCGGCTCTGCTGTTGTGCCCGTGGACAAGGCCAGCGTGTAAGGGGTGAAGCTGGGAAAACATCAGTTACGGAGATGAGAACCAAGAACAGACAAAAAGAAGAGGAGGACAGAAAGAGAAAGAGGAGGAAGAAGGGGAGGAGGGAGCCTCGGTCTCTGCCGCAGTCACCGACCGCTGCAAGGAGGCAGCTCTGAGGCCCCGGCCTGCGTGCGGACGGAGGGACGGCGCCTGCTCCAGGCAGCCCTTGTCGCCCAGGGCGACTTAGAAGGGGTTGCTTGGTCACTTGAGTACATGTGCTTCGAAAGCAAACAAGAGACCAAGAGACGCGAGTGTCCAGAGAGATCTTATCATGAAGTCACCTCAGACACCCAGTCTTCAGAAGCCAGCCACATTTCTGACAACTAACCGGGCACTGCCGATTTCTGTCGCCGTCCCTGGAGGCACGGCTCCACCCAGCGAGCCGCAGCTGCGGCAGTTGCATGCAGAGTAGGTAGGAGCAAGGGCGCTGGGCCGCCCGCCTGTGCTCAAATCTTGGTTTTACCACTTAATGAGCAGCGTGACTTTGGGCAAGGTACCTAATGCTGGGGACGGTGAGGTGGCCTGATACACGGACTCTTTTGTCACCTGAGGTTCTGAACAGATTGACAAGACAGATTTAGTCAGGTGAGCGCAAAACTCAAGCTCCGTTACTGCTGAGGGCCGGGGGAGCCCTGCGCAACGTGAGGCGGGGGCGCCTGAATCATGCAGACTCGCCTTGCGTCCTGGCAACACAGCAGCAGGCTGGCTGGGGACAGAGGACACCTGCTCCCGCATGTGGTTCCTCCCCCAGGAGAGAAAGAGGAGAGCAGGTTTGCTCTCCCTCCCCTGGGGCTGGCTTGACGCTGAGAGCTCCTTTCCCACGGAGTGGACGTGGGGAATCACTATTCCCCAACGCTCGGTCTGTGTGGGCCCCTCCCCCACTTACGGTAGGGAGGACGGAGCTCTTCCTCACAAGGCTCTGATGTGGATTAAACGCATGTCAAGTGTTTTCTCCCTGGCAGGGTCACTGCCTGATGACTTGTTGCTTGTCTTACCACTGGTTAGCATCCCAAATCCCAGAATCCAAAATGCTCCAACGAGCGTTTCCTTTGAGCATCATGTTGGTATTCAAAAAAATTTGGATTTAGGAGCATTTTAGATTTCAGATTTGGCATGCTCAAGTAATAAGTATAATGCAAATATTCCAAAATCCCCCAAATCTAAAATCCTAAACACTCCTGGTCCCAAGGATGTTGGATAAGGGGATGCTCAACGTGCATTACTAACAGCAAGGGGCTGAGTGTGGCTCTAGGTCAGGGCTTTCTATTTACAGGGGGCTGCCGTCTACACGGCCACATTTGGAACCAGCAAGACTCCCACACTGTCTATCAAGGTTTAAAATCTCGGGACTTATGACACGGGCAGGAGAGCTGTTAGTACTTGGGCATGTCATGTGATGCTAAGTTTGCAAGACTGACAGTGTGAGAATGACACTGGGGGACACATTCAAATACCTAAAGTAATTTAGCTGTACATGCCACTAAGAACATCAGACATGCCCCGAGATAAACCAAGGATAGCTTTAAAAGAGGAAAGGAAACAGAAAATTTGAGAACATCATGTTGTCCTCCAGCATAAACCCAAGGTTAGGATGCCTTGAGTTAGGGCCATGAGTAACTGCCCCCCGATACCTACAGCCAGGCCTGAGACACTCATCCACCCAGTGGCAATGTGACTAGCAACCCTAACCCTTCCTGCCCACAGGAGCCCTGGATTCATTTAGTCCATAAACGTTCATGGAAGGTTTGCTACGAGCCCTGCAAGGTCTCTCTGGAGTACAGTAGTGTCTGGCTCTACAGACAGAGGCTCTGCCTTGCGGGCCTTGTAACTCTGCAGGGCTGACAGGCACTGATAAGGAGTGCACACTCGCTTGTTACAGCGGGGATGGGGCAAGCAAGGGGAAGTGCTGCAGCTACAATAGCGTGTGACTGGAGGGCTGGCCTGGTCTGAGGAGCTGGCCAAGGCAAGAGTGGGAGCTGAGAGGACAGGCCCCTACAGGAGGAGGAGGATGGCTGTCCTGGGAGCCAAAGGAAAGCCAGGGCATCTGCAGAGGTAGGCAGAGATCAGACATGGCGTCCGAGGTTGCCTAGGGGGTCTGGGGGTCCATCCGAAAGGCCCTGGGAGGACATTGAAGGATTTTTAAGCAGGTGGTGATGCGATCAGATCACATCTGATCTGGATGCAGAGGAGAAAGGACTGTAGGGAGGACAGAGCAGGGCAGGGAGGCCAGTTAGCAGGTCAGCGAGTGAGCAGAGGCTGCATGGCCCAGGCCAGGCCTTGGCTGGGCAGCCGAATGGGGCCTTGGGAGGAAGAGTCCAAGCAGAAAAGCCAGGCTGGGCCAAGGAAGCTGGAGTGGCGATGTAGCCAGGCGAGACAGACCTGCTGCCCGCCCCCAAGTGAGTGGCGGTTTTGCCACGAGGCTGCCATCAATGCCTCTGACAGATGGGAGGTGGCAGAGAGCCAGAGGCAGATGACAAGGGTGTGCCCTCCTCCCTAGGGCTCCCGGGTGGAGGTGACGCCTCTCTCCTCTGCTGAGTCACACGTACCAACGACCTCTCACCCAGCTCCTGCCTGGGACGTCGGAATAGAAATATGCACAGGCAAAACTCATAAGCAAAGAAATAAATTAAAAAAAAGATTTAATACCACTTTCCAAAAATAGGAGGGAAATGCATCAGTGTAATTAGATGGAGACAATAAGCTTTTCCCAGACAATATTTTAATGTGAAAGCAGCGGAGTGTGATGACTTAATTAGGGAAATGCCACAAATCGTACTGTAAGACTGAAGAGCATCAACCTGCCGGTGAAGGAGGCCTGGGGGGGGGGTGTGGGGACGCCATCTGGATGTCCGAAATGAGCAAACGTGGCCCCCAAGGAGCAACCTTGATTTGATGCTCACTCCTCCCGGCACAGCATCATCTGTGTCCCTCTCCAAGCTCTCTCATCTCTCAGAGCAGCAGTGAAGCCACTTCTGCACTTGGTGGGTTCAAGTCCCAGCTCAGCTGCTTAGTAGCTGTGTGGCCTCTAAGGCAAGCTACTCAGACCCTCTGTGCCTCAGTTTCCTCATCCACAGATGGGGACAGCTGTAGCACCTCTCTCATAGGACTGTCCTGAGAAAACGTGTTAAGACGTGTAAAGCACGTGGATTAAATATTAAATAGGGCCAATATTGGCAGATCACTCAGAGAAGCGCCCGACACACAAATCCATGTAAGAGTCGTCTTGTTTGCTATCACCGCCCTGGGTAAAGAGCCCGGGGACGCCCTTTGCAAGCGCCACACTCAGTGCTCTTCAGGTGCCCCAGACCTGGCGTGGCCTCCTTTGTTCCAACGGAGCAAGAGCTGCAGGTCTCCCGTGGTAGACTGTGCCCTGCCATCCTGACTCTCGGGTGGCGGGCACAGGTTGGGGCAGGGACGACGGCCTGGCTGAGTGGCAGCAGCACTGGGGAGCCTCTGCCGACATGGGGCCCCTGATCTCCCGCATCCGGAGTCTAATGAGAAGCTGTCTAGGCAGGCACCATGGGCTTCCCTGATCCGGGTTTCCCACACGGCCCTTCCCAACGTGAGTGGAGACCTGCAGGGCATGTCCCCCCACCTCTCTCAGGCCCCTGCTCTCCTGGCCTTCGAGCCAGGCTGCCCTGGCCGCTCTGCCTGCAGCTACTGCCCACCACCCTCCACCCCTCAGCCCCACCGTCTCACCCCTCCTGCCACAGTGCACGTGTCGCTGTTCCCTGTCTGCTGTGCCCCGCCTGCCTGAAAGCTCCGTGAGAGCACGGCTTTGCTGTTTCCTTCTCTGCTCTAGAACAGCACCTGGCACGTAGCACGCATCTAGTAAATAGCTGATGGTTCAGCGAATGAATTGGGATCACAAGAATTTCCGATCGTGGGGGACAGTGAGCATGTTCTCTCTTGGACGAGGCCCGCAGATCATGTTCCCAGGGAATTGATCACGACAACCTATTTCCGGTCTTCAGGTTAGGGCAGCGGCTCAGAGCTCGGAATGGGTCTGCCAGCAATTTTCGAAAGGAGATCTGCACACGACTCACACCAGAATCTCTTCTGGCGCTCATTAAAAATGCAAGTTCTCAGAGTTTACCCCAAATCTGTGTGCCAGGGAGGGGCCCAGGAATCTGGATTTCAACGACCTCTTGGCGATGCTTCTGGCGCCAAGCTTGCAAGCCCTGCGCACCACTGCACAAGAACGCCTCACTTTTCCTGTCCCCCGTCACCCAACAAATACATCATGGCCGAAATAGACAGCAGCAGCTCTCTGGAGGTCACTCTTGGGAAAAGAGAGGTCGCGAAGCTACCCGCACCCTGAGCCAGGGCTCTGGCGGCAATTTAAACCTGGCGGGCGGTCAGCGCTGTGGGCCAGACAGCCAAGGGTCCCTTGAAGAGCGGGTGGGGGTTAGGCTCGTGCCTTGCTTCTGGATTTGGCAGGCGGTGTGGGGCACCGCAGTGGGCTGGACTTGACCATGAAAGCAGTCAACACCCACACAGTGGAGAGAATCTCAATTCACTCCCATTCCCACACTCTAGCTGTCACGCTGCCCTTGTGCAGAAAGTGCGGTCACAGGACAACAGGGCGTGAGCTAAGATAGCGGTTTGCTGCAACGGAACCAGCACGGGTGTCAGGGACCTGCTCTGTGAATCCTCCCGGAGCCTGGATGGGCTCGCGCTCTGGCCGCCCTCAGAGTACTCACCTGGCATCACGCCCTTGATGTCGCTCTCGGGGCTCATGCAGTTCTTCTGTGTGAAGTGCAGGATCAGCCTCTTCGCAGACTCAAACTGCTGGGTGGCCATCAGCCACCGCAGGGACTCGGGGAATATCCTTCAAAGACAAAAGGGAACAGGTGAATGTCTCTCGGTGCTTCCGGGCGCAGGGACCTTTGCAGGTGGGTCGCCGTCAGTCTCTGCCCAGGGGCCAGGAAGGGCTCAGGACGCTCATCGGCCCAAGAAGGGGAGTAAGACTGTGCACACCGAAATGTCTCTAGTTTTCTTCTACAAAATGTAAACACTGAGACTTTAAACGTGTTCAACAGAAAGTTAAACGTTGCAGGTTCTCATTCATATGTGGAAGCTTAAAAAAAGTCGATCTCACAGAGGTAAAAGGTGAACAGAGGAACTAGGGGCTGGGAAGAGGAGGGGAGGGTGACGGGGAGACTGGTTAAAGGATTCAAAATCGCAGCCAGATAGGAGGAAGAACTTCCTGTGTTCACAGCATGTGGGCAGCCGCGGCGGCCGATGATGTAGTACAGTTTCGAATAGCTGGAAGTCGGGGACTGAGTGTTCCCAACACAAAGAAATGGTACGTTTGAGACGCTGGATATGCCAACTGCCCTGATCTGATCACTGTGCACCGTGTGTATGGAAACACCACTCTGTACCCCACGAATATGTGCAATTATTATTATTATTTCGCAATTACAAAGTAAAAATAATAAACATTTTAAAAAGTGGCAGATATGAGCAACAATCTACCAACTGTGTTAAGAAATCAATGTACTCCTTTCAAGATAACCATGGGTTTCTAAAGCATGTATGAACAGTTCATCGAAGGCTGCTGTTTTTGTTGTCTTTTGTCACCAAAAAAATAGTAATAGAATTATTTTAAGTTTCAAAAATGACTGCTAATGGCAGTCACTTTCCATCTTTGAACGTTTTCAGGCTCACTCTGGCAGGGCTTCCCCCCAGAACGATTCCCATTTTGCTGCTAACTGCGTGTCTCTTCGAGAGGATGCCACAACACGGTGGCTTTCAGCAATGGGATTTGTTTTTTTTTTTTTTAAGATAAAATCTTGTGAGGAGCCCCAATAGAAAAATAAAATCTAGTGCTTTATCATCAATTCATTTTGTAAATTTACATCTATGACAGTATTGAGAGGTCAAAGAGAACGACGTGACGGTTTGGAGCAGAAGTTAGCACGCTGCCTCCGTAAATGTCCGAGCAGTCAGTACGTTAGACTTTGTGGGGAAGTGGTCTCTGTCCTAACTCCTCAGCTCCGCCCAGCAGCCCAGACAGGCACAGGAGTAGACGTGGCCATATGCCAATAACACTTTATTACGAGACAGGCAGCAGACCCCTGATTGGGAGAGACAAAGTAGAAATCAAAGTCTGGGTGAGGGTCCCAGCCTCCTCTAGCCCTCAGCGTTCCAGTTATATCGGGATGTTATTTTGGTTACATAGTAGCAAGAAAATCATGATGGACACTGGTAACACTGGTAGGAAGTTATTGTTAACTGCTAGCTCAGGAGAGTCTTTTAACGAAATGAATCCACAGATGGAAAAAGTATTAGTGGTGCTGTGTTCTGAATGTGGCCCGCCCCCCATATGTGGGAACCTAATCCCCAGTGGGATAGTATTAAGAGGTACGGCCTTTAGGTGATTAAGTCCCGAGGATGGGATTAGTGCCCTTATAAAAGACGTTGAAGGGGGCTGCCCTGCTCCTTCTGCCATGTGAGCACACACAGAAGGCACCGCCTATAAGGAATGGGCCCTTA